ATCTATCTATCTATCTATCTATCTATCTATCTATCTATCTATCTATCCATTTACCTACCTACCTATCTATCTATCTATACATACACACACACATACAGACAAAATCATTTCCCTCTCTCTCTCTGTTTGTGTGTATGTGTTCCTCTGTGTGTGAGGGAGGGAGGGAGAAAGAGAGAGGGAGAGGGAGGGAGAATTAAGACATCAGTCACCAACTCTGACCTTAGAAGTGCGTTCTCAACTGCACAATGTCTGTACTTCTCACTTAAGGATTTTAATTCATTAGAAAATGAATGAACTGGGATAAAACGAACATGCCTATTCTCAAGCAATAAATATACAATTCTAAAATTTATATCTAAATTCTTAGTGATTAGAAAATGCTTATGGACTTTTGCTAGAAAAAAAGAGAGGAAAATGAACACAATTTCTGGGTTTAAAGATCAGAAAGGCTCATAGAAAGAAGGAAATTGTGATGCAGTCTCATAGAGGGCAAGGTATAATTAAAGGACATTTCTGATATATATTGTCTAGGCCTTGCCCTTTTTTGTAACATGGCATCTGGCAAACATACATGCATTTTATTCTGAAAGGATATGGCGGCACACTTGGCTGCTGCAGCTTTTCGCTCTCTGGTTTGGTGTGTGTGTTTGGTGATATATGTGTCTGAGTCTTGTTGCATGGGGGAGGTTTATTATTATTTTAATTATTTTAATTTTTAAATACTTGCAGTGTGATTGTGATGTAGTGCTTGGGGCACTGTGCTGGAGTAACTTTCAAATTTCATTGTATTCATGGAATGCAATGACAATAAAGGTAAAAAAAATTCAAATTCAAATTCAAAATTCAGTTCAAATTCAACACACACACACACACACACACTCAAGCCACCCAGTATATAGACATAAGTAAAATCTCATATTTATTTATTTGTTTGTTTGTTTGTTTATTTATTTATTTATTTATTTTTGTCAATTGCTTACAAAATAATAGGTATAAGTAAAAACCTAGTTATGAATACATGGATATAAAAAATAAAAATAAAAGAAACAATAGGACAGGGACGGTAGGCACGTTGGTGCACTTATGCACAACCCCTATAGACCTCTTAGGAAAGGGGTGAGGTCAATAGTAGACAGTCTAAGGTTAAAGTTTTTGGGGTTTGGGAAAGAAACCACAGAGTCAGGAAGAGTATTCCAGACATTGACCACTCTGTTGCTGAAGTTGTATTTCCTGCAATCAAGTTTGTTGCGATTAAACTTGAGTTTGTATCTATTGTTTGCTCTTGTGTTGTTTATGGTTTGACAGGTAGGACATTGCAGTGTATGATTTTATATACTATACTTAGATTGGACCGAAGGCGACATAGTTCTAGGTTTTCTAGGTCTAGAATTTCGAGTCTGGTGGCATAAGGTATTCTGCAACGAGTAGAAGAGTGGAGAACTCTTCTTGTGAAATATTTCTGGACTTTCTCAACTGTTAATATCAGATACGTAATGTGGGTTCCAGATTGATGAGCTGTATTCGAGTATTGGTCTAGCAAATGTTTTGTATGCTCTAGTTAGTAGTGTAATATTACCAGAGAAAAAGCTACGTAAAATTAGGTTAACAACTCTTAACGCCTTTTTGGCTATGTAGTTACAGTGGGCTCTACCACTTAGGTCATTAGAGATGAGTACTCCAAGATCCTTGATAGAGTTTGAATCATCAACAATGTCTTGACTATTCAGCCTGTATTTTATTTTCTGATTATTATTTTTTTGCCAATATGTAGGACAGAGCATTTATTTGTTGAGATTTGAAGTTGCCATTTGTTTGACCATTCTGATACATAGTCAAGGTCTTTTTGAAGGGTAGCAGTATTGTCTGTGGTGTTGAATGGCTTTACATCATCAGCGAAGAGAACACAGTTGCTCTTGATATGATCACAGAGGTCATTTATGTAGAGTATGAAAAGAGTTGGTCCTAGAACACTGCCTTGGGGGCAGAAATGTTTCACTTGGACCATACTGATTCAACTATTCCAGAGATCATCAAAGTAAATCTTCCAGAACAGGAAGTGGTGTATATTGACCCATCTTAAACCTGCTTCTTTCTGAGGAAAATTTATCTCCAGAAAATGTTTGGCCTCCCTCCAAAACATCTGGTAAAAATGGCTTAAGTAAATAATGGAATGTTTTGGTGTTGTGGGAATACTCTGTTCCTGGAATAATAATGGTATGTGTTGAATGTCCCTATTATGCATGCATATCTATACAGAATCTTCAGATTGGTTTCAGCCAACATGGGAGAAGCTAAGCATGGGACAAGATTTTCCTATGGATTTTGTTAACTACTTACTTCATCTTGAGATTTTCATCTTAAATTCTGGGATATCTTCCTTGTGGGTCAATGTGGAGGTTAATGCCAAGTAATTTAAACCCCCTGAGCAGTTGGTGGACTGTTTACTCAATCCATATAGCTCATATCTGGAGCATGCAAGTTGTAACTATTTCAAACTGCCTAAAAACTATGAATTTCTTTACATAACAATCTCACTAAACTGGTAAGCAGAATGCTTCCAGATAGTGAAAGAGTTAAGAGATATGGATGCAGATGTACAAGAATAAGTCACTTTATCCTCTTCCTTGGAAAAGGAATTACTCAAAGCAATAATTGCCAAGTAATGATGATTTAAAGGAGATTTTTCACTGACTAAAAGTGGTAGTTTTGGCAAGTCCTCATTACCTTTGAAGATGCTCAAGATTCAGTTATGACTCCACTTTCTTGATATGTCTGCCAGTGAACCATATAAAAACCATTAAAATAATGTCTGCTATTCTGTATTTTGCTTAAATAGCCAATTAATTCTTTCTCTTAGGCTTTTTTTCTCTTATTGTTTTAATTCTAGGATTTAAAAATTTCAACTGCATGTATATTTTTAAATTAAAGCTCAAGGCTGAGCTCTTGGATTAATTAAATGAGATAACATGCAATGCAGTACCAATGAGCAGTCCTGAAAAACAGAATGCTGTAAGAATGCTTTGTTTTCATAGAAGTGTGTGAAGTTCAGAGACACTGACTATTCAGTACTTGGACTGCTTCTATGAATTACTTACACTACTCTGTATTTGCAAGATTTGAATGGAATTATTTTCAGTTACCTTACTATTTTTAAACAAAGACAAGTTAAACCAAGGTTTGTTAAACAAGTCACAATGTCCTAGCTTACGCATAATACTAAGCTGTAATATGTGAATTTATGTGTCCTATTAAATCATATTCCTCCACAAATTGCATTATATCTTACTTACATACAGGAGCCTATCCTGTATGGTTAAGTTATCACATTATAAATATGCACAGCTGAACTGGCCTCATCTATGAAGTGGTTAATGTACTGGAACAGAAACTGTGAGACCGTGAGTTCCAGCCTTCCCTTAGGCACAAAAGCCCACCTCACAATTTTGCCTTGAAATGTATAAAATAAAGATGGCATATATCCCTGTTAATAGTGATAATAAATAATCATAATCAGAAATGGCAGCTGCTGTGCCCCAGTTCACAGATATGTGCCTGTCAAATGCCTTTCTCATTGTTCCCTGAAGTAGGTTGTTGCTTTCAGATGTACTGTCCCATTGGCAGTTCTGAATGTATAACTGAATCATTGATCACACCATTTTGCAGTATGGAAGAAGGTGTACCATGATCTGTTCCTCAGACAGAAATATATGTGGGGCTAGCTTTCTGACAATATGTTATCAGCTTGATTTTATGAAGGCCAGCCTACCAACGATACACTAACCTACACAGAATTTACCAGCTTGCAACTTAAAAGAATGAATCCCACAGAAAAAGAGGATATGGAGTGAGTGAGGTTTTCTCCATCATTCCTCTTGCCTGTTCTACAGAATGGGAACTAAAATTCCATATGTGCACACCAGATAGAGGAAGGTGACAGTTAAACAGTCCTTGCAGCAAACTGATGCTAAAACTGATGCTAAAAAAATTGGAATAGATATAATAAATAACAATGATTTCCTGTCAGATGTCTGTCATACACAAATCTTTGAGGAACTGGACTCTTTGTTTTTATCAGAAGGGCCTGACCATTAATGGGTCAGGATAAGCCTTACCTGCAGCCATAACTTGTTCTTCACTGCATCCCTTCCTGTAGCAATGCACTGAAATGTTGCATTCTGACCTGCATTGACCTCTACATCCCCCAGCCTCAAGAAATGAGGAGATTTATCTGCAGAGATAGGAAAAGCAAAAAGTTACCAAAGGGTGTGCTCAGTCACATTTTTAAAAATTATTTTTCCCCCAAAGATAACATAGCATGGTGTCTTTAGGGCAAAAGAAATTCATACATGGAAGAAAAAAAATTGTTTTAGCTCAGTAAGAAGAATGGCCAAATAAGATGCAAAGAAATTGAAAATCTGAATGTGAATTTCAATAATATTCAATGTAAAAACTACTGCATTAATAACACAAATGATCAGATTTAATTAGCTATATGGTATGGTAGGTTGGGGGGAAGGTGGAATCCCTGTCAGTAAATATCATCTGCATTGTAGACAGAACATTGTTTGAACCAGTGACAAACCTTTTTATGCTTTCTGCATAGCCTCAGGGAAAGCTCTATGACAAAACTCTGTGTACATAAAAATTGGATTAAAAAAAGGCACTGACAGCAGATAAGGTATATTATTATTATTATTATTATTATTATTATTATTATTATTATTATTACAATGTTTCTTAACCTCAGTGTTTCTCAACTTCAATCTCAATTTTAAGGGGTGTGTACTTCAACTCCCAGAATTCCCCAGCTAGTCCACATAGAGTTACTAGAATTACTGAAGTTGAAAAATATTGTATTAAGATAAGTAGAGCTCAGTGTCTTTTGACTACATGGCAATCCACATAGAGGTTTTGGGTTTTTTGCAGAAATGCAGATGCAATTTGTCTTTGTCAATTTGAACTTCTTCCATGTTTTTTTTTTGGGGGGGAGGTGTGTGTGTGTGTGTGTGTGATATTCCAATCTAGACTGTGGGTTTGAGATTTCATATCCTACTCCTAAATTATCAAGGATTAGGGATAAGAAATATTGTATATTCATTTGTTATTACACTCTTCCAGATTATAATGAATTTCTTCAAGTCTGTCTGTGAGGCATCTTAGAAACTTCAAACAATTTGGATGTACAAACATCCAAATGATATCAGGTCCTAGAAGCACATTTCTCCAGAATTTTAGCTGCTAGTCTGGATGGCTAAATCTTGCTAGTCTGGATGGCTAAATCAAAGAGCCACGGTGGAGCAGTGGTTAAAATGCAGTATTGCAGGCTAATTCTGCTGACTGCCAGGGGTTTGATCCTGACTGGCTGAAGATTGACTCAGCCTTCCTTCCTTCTGAGGTTGGTACCGTAAAATGAGGACCCACATTGTTATATATATATATGACTGTGAGCTGCTCAGTTACCTTATGCAAGATGAGCTGCCAATAAATTTTATAAACAAACAAACAAATAAATCCTTGGCCTTATTGGGGAACAGCCAATGTAACTTGCTTTGGCTCTGCTAGTGCATACAACCTGTCAGCCCAATAGGACATATGAAACTTAAAAAACCCAATGCTGTATAGCTCAGGAGCCAATGCTATACGGGTCAGGTTTTCACACACTTTATTTTTGTGTGAACTAAGCAGGGACTTGTCTGAGATGTTTACTTAAGTTAGTTTCTTTGACTGGGATCGAAAGCTTTCTCCATGCCAGGGAAATGCGAATTGGATATTAGGCATCTCCCTTCTTGATCACATCACAAATGACACCATTCAACAATATTTTGGGATGGCACCAAAGAAGATGAGAGAAGGCCAACTTCGCTGATATGGACATGTCCAAATAGCAGCACCTTCCACCATGGCCAAGACTGCCTACAAACTAGAAGTCAATGGCTGGTGACCTCATGGGCAACCAAACAGAGCTGGCAACACAGCATCAACGAAGATATGCAAGTCATGGGCCTGCACCCTGGAGATGCAGCTGACCATGCAAAGTGGCATTCAATGATCTGAACAGTGGATCCTGCACCTGTGGGAATATGCTAGGAAGAAGAAAAAAAAGTTTCTTGGACTGGTCTCAAGCTTCACTTATCTGACCACTGCCCAGATAGGATCTCTTCCTTTGGTCCTTCAAAACCATCCCAACTGTACTTGATGCAACCTGGAGATCTACCCAATTGTCAAGCTATTTTCTAAAGCACCTGTAGGCCAGACAAGGAACAATGGATGGAAACTGAACAAGGAGAAATTTAACTTGGAAATAAGGAGAAACTTGCCCTCAGAAGTTGTGGGAGAGCCATCACTTGAGACCTTCAAAAAGAGATTGGACTGCCATTTGTCAGAAATGGTGTAGGGTCTCCCGCTTGGGTGGGAGGTTGGACTAGATGACCTACAAGGTCCCTTCCAACTCTGATTATTCGTTATCTGTCTCTATCTTCTGTCACACGAATTTCCAAAGACATGACCCCAAATAAAAAAAACTGCAAGACCTATCAGTAGAGAGATAGCTGCCCATATCCAAAACCAGACATTTTTCAGAACTGTTACAATACATTTTTAAAATAGGATTTATCAATTGTTGTTACCTGCTTTTATTATTGGGAGTAAAATGAATTAAAAAATCCAGCTCATAGTAAAACTATTAGATACCCTTTATTTCACTTTAATTACAATCCATTAAGAGTGAGAGAGAACCACTGAATTGAAATAATTATGTGATAACAGAATAACATTTATGACTTTAACATTATCATTTTTTTCTAACATGTTAGAAAAGAAAAAGATAGAAAAACAGTGGTAGCAGCAAGACGCCAATGGCTGAGTGAGTAATGAAAACACCAGTCTGACAATATTGAGCCTCACTTAGAAAAGACAGAGAAAAGTGTACCTCTTAATCATTACTTACCACAAGGGTAGCTCAGAACCTGGATGTCATCAATGGCAATGTAGCCATTTCTTCCATCTGAGACTTCAGCCTCAAATATTACCTGTCAAGGAGAAAGGAGAAATGTTTACAACACACACTGCAATGGAATTCCCATCGGTCTGGAATGAGGAGTGCATTTTCTCATTAAAGCCAAATGTTCTGCTATATTTCACGAACAGATTTAATTGTGTTCACTGCTTTTTATTTATTCAAAGATTAAGTTCTTAATTAATACTTGTCAATGCTCACTTTTCAGTGGCCTGTTACGCAGAATTTACCATTTTAAAAAGAGTTACTTTCCAGATAAAAGAGACGACGATATTTCAGCTTTTTTTCTGCAATATTGTCTAGGAGACAAGCCTTCCAGAGTGACAGTGAAAATAAAAACTGAATTTGCCTGCAGCTATTTTTATTCTTTGCTAAGCATGTGATAAAAATGTGCATGAGGAAGATAAGAAGTGAAAGTTTTGGCTGACCGGGTTAAATTGTAAAAGCAACAACCAAGGTACCCTGGAATTTAAACTTACAAAAAATAACATTGCTCCCAAAGAAGAGTCGGAAGCAGCGAAGGAAAGTAAAAAGGGAAAGGTTTGGCTTTTTTTCCCTTCTCTCTCCTTCCCTATACTGACAACTAAGAGACTTAAATAAGAAATTGGAAAAATCCGTTTTGACATCAATAGGCAATTAAGCTGAAAATAAAACAAAATGCCAAAGGGATAATAAAGATTTCTGGACATTAAAAACTTTCTTTTTCATAAGCAGGAAGGGAGAGAAAAAGAATAAGGGCAGGATCTGGAAGAGGGAGGAGACTGCCTGGAATTAAAAAGAATCTAAAGTAAAACTTCAACAAGACTTCTAAAAGATACATTTTAACTGAAACTTTGCAACTAAATAGTAACCCCAGGAAGAAAAAGTGAAAAAAAAGAGCAAAAAAGAAACAGCTTGCGTGTATTTGGATTATTTGGTGATCTTTGGATTTTTGGTTATTATATTTGAATGACTAAAATCAATCGGGTGGTTGTTTAAAAATTTATACAATGGCACCACTTCTGGATGAATTGAAAATGGAACTTAAAAAGTACAAAGAAGATGTACAAGAAGGGAAGGGTTCTTTTGGCTTCATTTTTCAATTCTTAGAAATGGAGATTTGGAACTATGAGAAACAACAAGAAAAGACTGCAAAACAGGAAGACTGGGACAAAGAAGCCATCTTTAATGAACAAGTAATTTTATGTGGGGAAGAAAAAGGAAAGGGGGGAAAGAATGGAGAATTTAAGACTTAAAAAAACAACCAAAGAAAAGAAAAATAATTCAAAAAATAAGTATAATACTGGAAAGCAACAGAAAAGGGGAATACAGAAGAGAGAAATAGAGGTAGAGAGACAAGGGGGTAAAAGGGGGGGAGAGAAGAAGAGAGGGAAGAAGGAAAGGAAAAGAAGTTACAAAGGACTGAAGCAAGATATAGAGAAATAAGACCTATTTAGAGATAATGGGTGAAAATCTAACTGAAAAAGGGATTCTGTAAAGGTACATAAGATTGTATTGTTATATTAGTAATAGAAATAACTTTCAGGCATGATATTCTGCTCTGAAAAAAAAATCGGGGCCGGCCAAAAGAGACCCCCCGCCACGCGCCCGGGGAGCGCCCGCTGCCTTCCCTCGCCAGGGCCGGGCGGTGGCGTGTTGCATGGAGGCTGGTCTGTGGCTGGCCCAGCTCCCTTTTCCTGCTGCTCAGCGGCCTCCGCTCGCACCGCCCAGGCTCCGCTCAGGTATCCGTCTGGGGCTGTCAGAAGTTGCTACCGCCGGCGCAGCTCCACGCGGCTCCAGTCCCGCGTTGCCTCGGGAAGGGAAAGGCAAAACCAGGAGCTGCTGCTACCGTTGCAAAGCGCCGCCGCGGCTCTTCCTTTTTGCCTTTCCCTTCCTGAGGCAAGGCGGGACTGGAGCCGCGCGGAGCCGCGCCAGCAACTCCTAACTCGGGGCCTCCGTGGGGAGGGGAAGGAGGAGAAGAAGGGGTGGGGGGAAAGGAGGGGGCGATTCCCAAAAAAATCGGAATTCCGATTTTAATCGGAAGAATATCATGCCTGAACTTTAGAAAATTGGAAACAACGTATGGTTAAAATGAGGGATAAAATAGTTAGTGTAATTTAGTGAAATGTTTGTGAATAAAATAAATGAAATAAAATAAATGAGAAAATTGAATTAGGAAGGGAATATTAATATTAATGATAGAATTGACTTGGAATGGAATGTTGTTTTAATTATATACATTTATAATTTTTTTTCTTTTTTTAAGAATACAGTGTGTATTTTAAGAATGAACCAAGCAGAATCCGAATGGAAGTTATATATTATATTGAATGTTACAACTTTAGGGAAAAGATATAAAGGCGTCATACTCCAATCAGTAACTACAGGAGAAATTTTGTTTAATGAGAAAAGATAATAGATAATTGAAACAGGACAGACAAAAAATATAAATACAACGATTTGAATTGAGATGAGATAATTAAAATAAAATTGAGAAAATTAAAAGAGGGGAGAAGCTATGCAGAAAATGTAAAATAGTAATAAGATATGGAATAGAATATAAAAATGAGCATGAACCTGAATTTGTGTCTGTACGAAGAAATGTAACCCGGGATTATGCTGCTTTCAAAAAAAGATGTTTTATTTGTATTTTTTTTCTCTTTGTGAAAACTCAAATAAAATTTACAAAAAAAACCAAACTAAAAATATTGTAAGAACATACAAAAACTTAATTATTTTCCTCTTTTATAAATATAATGATAAAACCACATTAGTTATTGTACTCAAAAGGCTGTAATTTTATAGTTGTCTGGTTCTATACCTGTAGTAGTCTATGAAGTTCACCCTTGAAGAAGGAATTCAATGGCTATTATATAAACATTATCTTAGCCAGAATAGATAGGTAGCATGATGGAAAAGTTCAAGATTTTCCTGCTTTGATTCTCTTTAGTAGAAGAGAGATAAATCTCTGCCAAGTTTTAAGCTTTTGTCATTATAATTTATAACAATAAAATATCTTTCTGTAGTGTCTCTCCTCTGAATTGGCTTAACTTGAATGGTTGACAACAATTTCCACCAGCTATTGTGTTACCAGAGAGATGGTTTAGATTCACTGTTAAAGATGCAAAGGAAAGGAAAGAAGACCAAATATAACCACTAGCACTTAGCAGAATAAGATACTTTAAAGAAGAGTTCTTCAATGTTTCTGGTTTTGCAGACAAACGGAGGGGGGGAGGCCCAGAGGGGATATTTCTGCATAAGTGGCAGGCAAGTACATGTGCAGCTTCATTTGCACAAGCAGCAGGTAAGTGCACCTGTGGCTCCTACAAATGGAGCACGCCCGCACACGGTCATCTACCGCTCGCACAAGTAGGGATGCACATGCCCGCATGCTCACCCTCTCCCCTACTTTGGGCAGCCTGATTCTGAACATCTTACAGCCTGGTAGTGGGCCTGACCTAGGGGTTGGGGAACCCTAATTTAAAACATAAAATATTATGCCATTGTGTATTTTAGAACTACTGGGCTTTTTATTAGACCTGTCTACAACACAGAGATCTTTTAAGGAAGACACTCTTCTGTAATGGGAAGCAGGAAATCTGATAAATAAATTTTGACACTGAAGGAGAATGGGTGGTTAAAGCATCTCAGCAGGGACCCCCCTTAGTTTTAAGGGAACGTAAAAGTAAAGGAGTGAGAAATACTTCTGAGTTTGCAAGATTCTTTTTTTTTTATATTAAACAAATTCTATTGATTTTCAAAAACAATACACAAACAAACAAAACATAAAACATAAAAACATAAAACATCTTTTCTGAAAGCAGCTTGATCCCGGGTTACATCTCTTCGTACAGACACAAATTCAAATTCATGCTCATTTTATATACCATTCCATATCTTATTGCCATTTTACATTTTCTATATAGCTTCTCCCCTCTTTTAACTTTCCTAATTTTATTTTATTTATCTCATCTCAGTTCAGATCATTATGCTTATTATTCTTTGTCTGTCCTGTTTCCAGCTATCTATTATCTTTTCCCTTTAAACAAAATTTCTCCTGTACACTGATTGGAGTATGACGCCTTTATCTCTTTCCCCTAAATTTATAACACTTAGTGTTATAACTTCCATTTGGATTCTGCTTAGTACATTCTAAAGTTATACACTATATTTTTTAAAAAAAGAAAAGATTATAAATATGTAATATAATTAAAACAACAATCCATACCAATTCAAATCTATCATTAATATTAATATTCATTTAAATCTTGAACATTTTACACATTACTTTTCAGTTAAATATCATACTTTTATGGGAACACTTATAAACTTTCCATAGTTATTTCCCCCCCCCACTTCACATATTTTAAAACATTGTGTCATTAAAATGTTCCCATTCCTTCCTAATTCAATTCTCTCATTTATTTCATTGCCTTCCTTTTGTTCACAAAAATTTCACTGAATTACACTGAATATTTTATCCCACTTTTTAATCACATGTTGTTTCCAATTTTCTAACATTATTTCTAATACAAATATAACAATACAATCTTATGTACCTTTGCAGAATCCCTTTTTCAATTAAGTTTTTACCCATTATCTCTAAATAAATCCTGTTTCTTTACATCTTGCTCCACACCATTGAAACTTCTCATCCCTTCCTTCCTATCTTGCTTCTTCTCCCTGCCCTTTTTACCCCCTTGTCTCTCCACCTCCATTTCCCTCTTCTGTATTCCCCCTTTCTGTTGTTTTCTAACAATATATCCACTTTTCACCTTATTTTTCCCTGTTTTGGTTGTTTTTTTAAGTCTTAAAATCTCCATTTTCTTTTCCTCCTTTTCCCTTTCTTCCCCAAATAAAGTTACTTGTTCATCAAAGATGGCCTCTTCTTTGTCCCAATCATCTTGTTGCACAGTCAGTTTCTCATAGGTACAAATCGCCATTTCTAAGAATTGAAAAAGAAAGCCAAGAGAACCCTTCCCTTCTTGATCCTCTTCTTTATATTTTTTGAATTCAATTTTCAGTTCATCCACA